TGTGCTCTCCTTGGCAAGCTTTTTCAGGGAGAGAGAAAGGTTTTTAATCATATGTTTATGAGAAGCAACTCCCTGCCATGGCAACAGAGTTTGTCTAAAGAAATATCCCATACCATCTGGTGGGCCACCTGGTAAATATTTATCTGGGAGGATGTTTAGCATAGATCTTTTGGCCATTGTGAACGGTTTTATGGTGTTAGTCCAATGCCTAGCATCATTAACATTATAGTCAGCAAAAGGAGTGACTAAGTACCCTAGTAAACAGATGTCTCTTGGGCATCAGCTGTCAAGGCATTCATAGTCCCAGGGCTGGCCATTTGTTTCATAGACAAAGACGTATCCTGAGGAGGCGCATAAAATACCAACCATGTTAACATTTAAGTTCTCAGTTTGGGGAATTTTACTTTGGACTTGATCAAACTAGAAGCCAGAGTATAGTGGAGTCTAAAAGAGTTATCTGACTTACAAATTGGTAGGGAAGAGGGCAATCCTTGAAGTTCTAATAGGTTCTTTTTATTTAAATCTTGATGTAATCATGTAGATCTACAGTTTGAGGATGCGCCACTATATCTCTCCTGGACCAGAGGATAGAAAACAGGGAGTGGAATGGTGGAATGTAGGTGTGTCAAGTAAACAGATGATTTCTGTTTCTGCATTAGCTAATGTCTAGCTTCTGTGAGCATAGAACCCTTTATCCTCACAGTTTTTTAGCTGTTGACGTAGGTGTCCTTGCAGGGGATGCTAATGGAAAACAGGGAACTAACAATCCTCTACCAGCAAATCTGACCCCATAGGTTATACCTGTGGGTTTTTGATCATAGGTCACCAGAAAATTAGGCACTTTAGAGAAGATGGTCACAGAGATAAGCAGTGGATCAGCACAATCAAGTGCAGAGGAAGGTTTTGGATGACATCTCTAACATTTAGATAGATTTTGTGAGGTAGGTAGGGATTGGGACATTTTTATCAAGAAATTACCTTTTTGGTGGGATGTGGTGGCTCATGCCTGTAATCCCAGCACTTTGGGAGGCCAAGGTAGGTGGATCACTTGAGGTCAGGATTTTGAGACCAGCCTGGCCAACATGGTGAAATCTTGTCTCTACTAAAAATACAAAAATTAGCCAGACGTGCTTGCTTGAACTCAGGAGGCGGAGTTTGTAGCAAGCTGAGCTCATGCTACTGAACTCCAACCTGCATGACAGAGTGAGACTCTATCTCAAAAAAAAAAAAAGAAAGAAAGAAAAGAAATTATATTTTTATGTTGAGGTCGGGGCAAGCAAAAGGATATAAAAGGATATAATAGAGAAAAACTGGGCATTTTTAACAGAGGAAATGGTTTTGTTTCCCTGGGAACAGCTATTTGGCTGACAGAAAGAAAAGAATCAGAATAAAATAAACTCTACCCAAGGAAGGGCTCTAAGGTCCTAAATAACATTTTTGAGGTGAAATCAAGGAGGTAGAGATGATTGATTCAATAGCATAGAATCATGTATATGACACCAAGGTAGAAATTTACTTGCATTAATACAGGCTTGGTCCGATATCTTGGGCAAGCTTTCTCCTTTAGCTGTCTCCTGTTTCTGTCCTCCCAGTTCCATCAGGTGGAGGTTGGTGTTAGAGACAGAAACGGATTTTCATTTATCTGGAGATCCAGGAGCCTTTTTGGTCTTATTGGGTTTTTTGAAAATCAGTTACAAGTTTCCAAGAGTGTTTCTGGGTGGAAAAGCTGGTTGTGGGCCTCCACAGCCATCTGGTGTCTGCTCAGTCTGGTCCTTTGGTTTTACTTATCTGTGAAGGGTATGACCTGTTTTAGAATTTTACAGGGGCCAAGAGGAATCTTCTGAAAATGGGAATAACTTTTACCCATGAATGACAAATTTAGGGCCTCAAACCTTTTATCTTTATTGCTGAACGGATCACTAAAGGAACTTCATAGGGCCTATTCTATTTGGACTGTAGTTGGTCTTCAGGATGGTGATTTTTCTAGGTCTTAAGTTGCACTCAGTTTCCTGGACTTAGACAATGTAAAGGAACATCTATAGGAAACATTAAGATAGCTAGAAGTGTAATTATGTATAGCAGATGAAGTTGTACCCAGAGACTGTACGTTTTATAGGATCTAATGCATTTACATTATGATCATTTTCAAAATTAAAATAATATTTAGTCTTAAGAAAGGATGTATCACATAGAATTTTGTAGGGGCTAACCCAGTGCTTGCTTTTAGGGGCCAATCTTACTCTAAGTAGGGCAAATGTCAAGACCTTATCCTGTGTTAAACTGGTTTTTTGACACATTTTGGCAAGTGTATTTTTTAAGATATTATTTATCTTTTGAGTCTTTCTTGTAGACTGGAGATTCTCAGAGATGCATAATTTCCACTGCATCCTAAGTGCTCCATAAACTTCTTATGTAAGTCTGTTATCTCTGTTGTCACTTTGCATTGAAGTTGGCTATCCAAAGTAAGGAATTACATCTTTTAATAAAGCTTGAGTTACCTCAGATGCATTTTCTTGTTTGATATGGAAGGACCCTGACCCATCTAGTGAAGGTGTCTACAAGTACCAACAGGCATCTATCCAAGTCTTGAGTACGAGTATGAAATCTCTACCGATTTGCTCTTTCTAGATTTACCTTTGAGTACTCGGTTAAATAAGGCCAGATTCATACTTGGAATAAGTACCAGAGCCTTTGTTTTAGGCTCTTTTGTCCTGGCTGTATGTTTTTCTGCCTGATCAGCTAGATTATTGCATTTAGTTATCTAGCTATCAGTTTTCTGGTGTCCTGGTCAGTACACTATGGCCACTTTTTTTGGCAGCAAAATGGAGTCTAAGAAGTCTAATATCTCTCTTGTATGTTTAATTTTTTTATGAGATTAGTGAGTCTGTCTTTTTATATGGCTTCATTTGCATGCACTACCAAAAAGACATGTTTGGAGTCTGTATAAGTGGTTACCATTTTCTTTGTCCTGAAATGTGAAGCTCATGTGAGGGCATGAGTTCTGCTTTTTCGGCAGAGATACCTGGTAGGAAAGCCTCAGCTTTTAAGATTTTCTGGTAAGTCACTACTGTATATCTGGCTTTTCAGAGATCCTGATCCATGAATCTGTTCACATTGGTGAACATTCCCAGGTCTGGGTATTTCAAAAATTGATTTGTCAAGTCAGGCCTGTTCTGATAGAGCCTCTTCATGGATTTCAGGCAGTGGTCCTTCTTCTACTTGTAATAAGGCAACTTGGAGGGTGTAAGCTTGTCTAAGAGACACCCTAATATTTACTCGTTCTGGTGAAAAATTACTTGTGCATTTAATTTTGTTAGCAAGTCTTATCCCAGAAAAGGTATTGGACATTCAGGTATATATAGGAAGCTATGTTTAAATAGGTTTTTCCTCTATGGCATTTGAGTGGCTGAAGGAAAGGCTTTCAAAGGTGATTCCCCAGATACACCAGTAAGAGCAGTGGCCTTTGGGAACAAGAAGCTTTGTCTTGTGTTTGGGATAGAGTATGTAGCTCCAGGTTCAGCTAGAAAATCTATGCATCTCTTTTTCCACAGCAATTGTCATCTGCACTTCTTTGTGGGAAATGTTGACAGAGCTAATTGAGTGTATAAAAGTCTCTGGGTCTCATCATTACTGGTTGCTATTAGTAAGCTGTGGCATGTGGTGGGTTGACTTGTGGGGAATTTTACCTTAAAAGTCCATAGACAAGTATGTTACTAAAGTTTTCCATTTTGTAGAAGTTTATCTGAAATGACTGGAACAAGTTCCTGTACTAAGAAGGTTTTCTGGGTCTATGGTGTGGTGACTATAGGCATTCCTCTTCAGAGAATCACCAATGGGCTAGATATGCCCTCTTTCATGTGTCAGAGGGTCCTTAACACCAGATGGTATTGGATTGCTTGAGATGTTAGTGTTCCCAAGGCCCCTTATGTGCTCCTCCTGGATGAGCTGTTGAAGTTTTCTCTAACCCAGGAATGGGGAATGTTTTTTCTGGTGGGACTGCCTATAAAATTACTTTATGTCATAGGCAAATAGCCTCAACACCTCTGCCAGTCTCTTAGGAACACTCTAAAAGGGCAGGAGGAAGCAATGTATTTCATCTTTGGAATCCAAGGACTTTCATTTAAACAAACTTCTAATGAGGTTCTTGTCACAACCACCAAAAATTTTAACCTCTATTAGGACAAATAATTATGCAAATCAAAAATTCACACACATAGACAAAGGAAAACCAAAACCAAGCCAAACTGAGAACTCTAGCAGTTACTGAATCTTAGTATTGCACTTATTCTTTGGGATCCTACCCCAAAGCCAGGACTGTAATAATCTAACCAGGATCTCCCTAGGGTAGGATTCAAACCCATGATGCTACACAAAAATAGGACTCTATAGTCCTAGACCAAAGACAATTTAAGGTGTAAGCACATATTAACAACATATGAGTCCAAAAGACATCTTATCCAGAAGTAATTTCTTTTCTCAAAAGAGAAAGTAGCACTCAAGGAGCTTGAAATGTCATGACAGAGAATAAGGACCCCACAGCTGAGCCTCTGGATAAACTAGTCTAGGTAGTACCACTCAGGGTCGGCGAAGAAGCTTTTGTCCCCACTGAGGGGCTATAGTGCCTTGGCTGGCGTTGGCCTCGCATTGGGCACCAAGATTTGCTATCAAGCAAATGGGTTTGCACACAGAAGCCAATAACTATGGCATCAGCTTTTGAGAAAAGAAAGGGCTTTATTGAAAAACCAGTCAGCAAAAAGAAAGGAGTTGGCTCAAATCTGTCTCCTTGATTCGGGGTGTAGGGGAGGTTTTAAGGGATCAGAGAGCAAGGGAAAGGATTTAGAAATGTTGACTTGGTAGGGTCTGATTAGAGGGCTCCAAATATAACTATCTATGGTAAGGTGTGTTGAGATACATTTTAACCTGGGATCATCTGGGCCAGTGGACCCTTCACTATTGAAAGAGGTCTGGCTTTCAGGTTTCAGTCATGTCTTGGTCTTGTTTCTAAGGGGAGGAGTCTTTGGTTCTAGGTATTGTTAAAAGTCAAAGATTTTACTATTGCGCATGTCTGGTCTACATGACTTGCAGTTATGTAGCTGTTGGCAGTGTGGGAGAAGAGTGTTGTTTCTCTGGCCAGGAAATAAATGAAATGTGCTGGTATCAGAGACTAAATTCATTGTAGCATCCTGCTTCTGGTGCAGCCATGAGCAGCAGGCTTCTCTGCTGTGTAATCATTTGTCTCCTGAGAGCAGGTGAGTCCTGGGCACAGGTGAGGAGTCCCTGTCACCGAATTCAAGGATCTAACTATAAAATGTTTCTTCATGAAAGTCACATTAGTCTTCTTTTCCAGGCTCTGTCTTTATTTGATCATCCATTTTTCCCCCAAACAGACTTCAAGAATGCTATAGTTACACAATTCCCAAGACACAGAATTATTGGGACAGGAAAGGAATTCATTCTACAGTGTTCCCAGAATATGAATCATGTTGCGATGTTCTGGTATCGACAAGACCCAGGATTTGGACTGAAGCTGGTCTATTATTCACCTGGCCCTGGCAGCATTGAAAAAGGAGATGTCTCTGAGGGGTATCATGTTTCTCGAAATAATATAACATACTTTCCCCTGACCCTGAAGTCTGCCAGCACCAACCAGACATCTGTGTATCTCTGCGCCAGCAGTTCAGCCACAGGACTGCATAGCCACATCCTCTCTGCACAAAAAAGGTGCAGGCCAAAGAGGAAAAGCCTGCCCACAAAATTCCTTACCCCAAATAAGAGAAGCTTCTTCACAAGTATTGGACAAAAAATGCCAAACTCTGTAAAATATTTGAAGAGATTTATTCTGAGCCAAACATGAGTGAGCATGGCCAGAGGCAGAAGCTCAAGAGGGCCTAAGAACATGAGCCCAAGGTGGTCAGGCTACAGCTTCGTTTTACGCCTTTTTAGAGATATCAGACATCAATCAATACATGTAAGCTGTACATTGGTTCAGTTTGGAAAGGTGGGACAACTCAAAGAGGGGGCTTCCAGTCATAGGTGGAGGCAAGGACTTTTCAGACTGGCAGTTGGTTGAAAGAGTTATTATCTAAAGACGTGGAATCAATATAAAGGAGTGTCTGAGTTGTGGGGACCAACGTTCTTATCATGCAGATGAAGCCTCCAGGGACCAGGCTTCAGCGAGAATAGACTGTGTTTCTTATCAGGCTTTAAAAGGTACTAGACTCATAAGTTAATTCTCTTCTGGATCAGGGGAAAGACCTGGAAAGGAAAGAGAATTATCTATAGAATGTAGATTTTCCCCATAATAGACAGCTTTGCAGGGCCATTTAAAAATATGTCAAAAAAATATACTTTGGGGTAAAATATTTTGTTTTTTTTTTTTCAGAGCCTGCTATCGGTCATATTGATATTTTATTGCTACAATGTGTCTGTTTTACCACTCTTAAGGTCTCCATTTTAATATTATTGGCTGTCACAGAGAAACAATGAGATTTGCCCTTAGCTCCTTACAGTCTCTTTCTGATTCCCTTGATCTGAATTCAAATACACATCAAATCTGTCTCATGTTTGAAATCCTTCTGATCTCCACTTCTGCTTCAAGACAGAGAGAAACTCTGCTTTTAAAGGGCTTTGGTGATTAGGTTAGGCTAACCTGAATAATATTTATTTTATCAAAGAATGTAACATAAGTGCTTGAATGACGTCTTATTATATTTTTAGGCTCCATTCATGCTCAAGTGAAGGAGATTATACATGGGTATGAGTCATTAGAGGTCATTCTTGGAATTCTGCCTATCACACCAATGGAGATCAAATGCCAGGAAAGTCAGGAATAGAAATTTGGAAAGCATACAATCAAATATACTAAATTAGAATTCAAAACTACTCGAGATGGTTCAGAGTTTTGGCCATGTAGTGGATCAAATTTTCTTACTACTGCTTAACCAAGGACACAGTACAAAAGTAGAATGAACTAGTCTTTATCAAAACAGAACAAAGACCATATTTAAAAAGAAAAGGCAAGAAGGTGGAATAGATCTGGCTTTTACTTGAAGGACACTGGAGATTCCAGTTAAGAAACGGAATTGTCTTAGTCCCTGAATTAACAAAAGAGAAGAAAGATGAGACCAGAACCTTTGTCAATGAAAGAGCAGTGAAGTGGAAAGGCAGAATGGAGTGAGGGTGGAGAGCACATTCTGAAGAGAATAAACTTAGTTGTCAGATGAAAAGAGATAAATAGTTAGCTTTGTCCTTACAAATTTTGAGGTAACTTATGGAAATACTTTTTCTTATCAGTTGATTAATTTGGGGGGAGGTAGCACAATCCTTCGAAATTCCAGTGAGTAGAAAATTAGGCTCAACCTCAAGATGAAGCCTCGAAAAAGCAATGTCTATTCGAATCCAGTTAACAGGAGAACATCTACTGTGATTTTATTATCAGCAAGCTGGTGAAAACTTCCTGAAGAAGAAATATGGGATGATCCAGAAACCGATTAAAGTCTCAGAACAACAAATAGTTTCTCTTCTCGTGAATTAATTCACCCTTTCACAATTAAACAGAGATAACTCAGGGTACCTTAAATACCGATGAGCTTCACAGAAATGAATTGCCACCCAATTCCACTGATGGAGAAAGATAAGAAAATGAGGAAGGAAAAGGTACTTTCAGAGAGAAGAATTGTTGAGAAGGTAGCAGTCCTTTCTCCTTTCTCTTCCCATGAGATAGTTGCTATTCATAGCTCTGTGATGGGGACTGGGAACACAAGAATCACCACTCATGGATTAATGAATTCAAGATCTGTACCTTCCATTTTGATTCCATATTTGAACTTAAAATTATTCAGGACACCAACTGAACACTTAAAGTTAAAACTCATATCATATTTCCCTCCCAAGCTGTATTTCCTCTGAGTTCCTAACTTGATGGATTATTTATCTGTACAATATATGAACACAGAGAGTTAGGCCTTATTTGCCTTGGACACCCAATTTGTATGTAAGCTCTTTCATTTCTAACTCCTAAATATCTTAGTTCTTCATTTATTATCTCAATCACTGCAACCACTGCCATGTTTATGCCCTTTTTACTAGCTTACCAAATAAATACAAAAGGTCTCATTAATCTTTCTAGCTCCTTAATAATCTTCATTCCATCTAATTTAGTATTAGTATTATACCCAAGTAGAATTTTCCAAAGTACAAAGATCTCTTTCTATCACTCCTTCTGCAGCATCCTTCAGCGGCTCCCCCATGGTCTACAATATATACAATCTAAGTTTATTAAAATGAAAAAAAAATTTTGACTATCACTTTAATATTTCGAAAAAAGGAAAATTAGTCCTTTACCAGAAAAAATAGCAATATATAATAATGTCAAGTTCACACTAGAGTCTAGGATGGTGACAAAGAGCTTTATATTTTTCTTCTTGAGTCACTTTGATATCCTCCCACAGTAAGACCATTAGAGTTGGTGTATTAGTCTGTTCTCACACTGCTACAAAGAAATACCCAAGGCTGGGTACTTTATAAAGCAAAGGGGGTTAATTGATTCACAGTTCCACAGTGCTAGGAAGGCCTCAGAAAACTTACAGTCATGGCGGAAGGCAAAGGAGAGGCAGGCACCTTCTTCACAGGGTGGCAGGACAGTGTGAGTGGCAGCAGGGGAAATGCCAGATGTTTATAAAATCATTAGATCTCCTGAGACTCACTCATTATGATGAGAACTGTATGGGGTAAACTGCTCCCATGATTCAATTACCTTCACCTGGTCCCACCCTTGACACCTGTGGGTTATGGAGATTACAATTCAAGGTAAGATTTAGGTAGGGACACAGAGCCAAATCATATCAGTTGGGTACTGAGGAGGGCATACTGTATTAATCATGCCTTCTTGTTTTCTGTATTTTCTATGTTTTGATATCCATATTTTCTGGTGTTTTTACCTCTGGGAACTTGCTGATCTTGGAGGGACTGACCCTCTCAGGGTTAGCTAATTCCTAAGGATAGCAAACTACTTTCCCTAGAGCATGCCTTTCATATTATATCAACCAATCCAAACCACCTCCTTGATTGGGCTCTCATACTCTGAGCACCTGTTCTCCTACCCTAATTACCACAGGGCCACATACTAAACAACTTGAGATAATCCCTGCACCTTGGAGCCTGCTCAAATTTTTCAAACTATCCAATGCTAAACCTACTTAGCCTGCTACCCTTCCTCACTCATTCGTTCAGTGAAAGCCACAATAAAGGTTCTTGCCAATGTTGCCTGTCTCTCCTTCTTTCTTCTGTCCAACTGTTGGGATTCCTATTGCTATCTTTTTTTTCCAGCTTGGTCTTGAGCTCACTCTTTTTAGACTAGCCCTAAACCAACATAGCCACTCTCTAGAGACCTCTGTCTCAGCGGAGGGGGAATTAGATTTAGGTGTGAGTGTCAGTGAGGCACAGTGAGAAAGTGAAAACAAAACTGCATGAAAGAGAAGAAATTTATTACTCACAGAACCCAAAGAGGTTAGAGAGGCCTACGGGAATTGTGAAGATGGCAGGGAGCTCATCCTGTTGGGGCAGGTAAGGCGGGAGGGGGTGAGTGAGGGCCTGTGGAAATATGCCTTTATTAAGGTCCATGGGCATTATTCCTTAGGCTTTCCTATGAGTTCATGAGTCAGCTACTTTAAAGAAAACATTCCAGAAAAAGGAAACTTACTTGCAGTAGCATTAGCCATCATTTGTTTGTTTGTTTGTTTTGTTTTGTGTTTTTTGTCAGAGTCTTGCTCTGTCACCAGGCTAAAGTGGAGTGGCATGATCTCAGTTCACTGCAACCTCCACCTTGCAAGTTCAAGTGATTCCACTGCCTCAGCCTCCCAAGCAACTGGGACTACCAGCGCACGCCACTATGACTGGCTAATTTTTTGTATGTTGGTAGAGACAGGGTTCCACCATGTTGGCCAGGATGGTCTTGATCTCCTGACCTCGTGACCTGCCCACTTTGGCCTCCCAAAGTGCTGGGATTACAGGCACAAGCCACTGTGCCCAGCCCTGCCATAGGTTTTATCATGGTCAGCAGCTCTGGAGTGTGTTAGGTCAGGGGAATGAGAAATAGACCATATAGCCACCAACCATACAGGGAGGGGAAGTTTCAACTGGGCCAAAGGTGACAAGGTATGACTGGGTTTCAAATAATTTGTTTCAGACCTAAAAAAAAAAAAAAAAAAAGAACTGGGGCTGGGGGCAGTGGCTGACATCTGTAATACCAGCACTTTAGGAGGCTGGGGCGGGTGGATCACTTTGAGGTCAGGAGTTCGAGACCAGCATGGCCAACATGGCAAAACCCCATCTCTACTAAAAATACAGAAATAAGCCAAGCATGGTGATATGCACCTGTAATCCCAGTTGTTGGGGAGGGTGAGACAGGAGAATTGCTTGAAATCAGGAGGAAGAGGTTGCAGTGAGCTGAGATCATGCCACTGCACTCCAGCCTAAGTGACAGAGCAAGACTCCACCTTAAAAAAAAAAAAAAAAAAACTAGGCCTGTATGGCCCTGCATAGTGTCATGCCCCTTCTTCTTGGGAATTGTAGCAAACAAACTGTATTTTCAGTGGCAGCTGTCTCCTGATCCATAATAACAACACTCATATTCTAAATAATTTGCTTCTTATGAGTAGGAAGAATGGGTCAGTTCTTCAGAATCTCAGACACATCCAGAGGAGAAGATGAAGAAAACCAAATGACCAGGCCATATCGAGCTTGATTGAAACACACACAATATAATCGCCCCTTTGTCTCTATGTCTTCACCAGCTCTTCAAGTACACCTGTGTCTAGTATGCTGACAAGCTCTCTATCTTCTTCAATCTGTTAAATCATTTTCTACTTTCCTACATTGTGGCAGACAAGGAGAGCCCTGGGTGTGGTGGAAAGTGGGAAGGGGTTAAATCCATCTAGGAAGGAGATAGGTGGGTGAAAAAAAATTGTTTTACATATACAAAGGTTTCTATGATTACAATCCTAGTATGAAATCCAGCCACACCCACCACACACAATCCCACTCACTGTAAGCAACACTGAACCCTATCTCCA